CCCCAAAACCCCAAAACCCCAAAACCCCATCAAGTAAAATTATTAAAGCATTTCTGAATTAAATAACTTTGATTTATTCGTTATATTATAATCTTAATGAAATCGTCTTGTTTTATATAGCTACTCGAACAGCATCAAATTCCTATTTATTTCGATAAATATTTGAATCTGATTAACCTTCAAGAAATGAAAAAGAAATGCAATTGAATCCTTAAAAGTATTAATTCCTTGTAGGTTTATTTATATTAGAAGATAAAACATAGAGCCATCAATCCACAGCTGGTAATAATTAAGTATAAGAAGAATGCTTGGAAGTTTAACTTAATCATCCTTTGATTTCACATAACACTATTATAATTGAACTTGAATCTGAAATTAAACAAGAAGTAGAGAAAGTTGTATAGTTCAGTGAAGTATAAAAATGTCTAATAAAAGATAAACTAGTAAAATCTTAAAATAATTTCGAAAACTATAAAATTGCGATTCAAAGATCCAGGAAGCTAAATACCGAATTTAACTAATTTAGAAGTCCAAAGTTAGGAGAGGAACTTGACAATTTCGAATAAAACACTAGCTGGAGAAGAGAATATTATAATCTTATTGAGGAAGCCAAGAAACTGTTGCACTACATTGACATCAATTCGATATCTTTAAAATTGTAAGTACTAATGAAGTTAAAATATTATGGTCTGATTACTTTGAAATAGCATCTCAAAGAAATTATTGAGAGTAATGAAAGATGAAAAAGAGACAGTGCATAAGCTTGAAAAGTATCTACATTCGTTATAGCATAAAATCAATGAGAAGGAGCTTGAGATATAAAAAATGCTCAACCAAATGATGGTATGATAAAACTTTAAAATTCTGATATAGGATATATATTCCACGAATTTTTGCAATAATATTAACTCAGAGGCATAGTTTGAGATCTAAAATTTTAAGGAATAGATTAGAGTCAAGGATCTATTCCCTATATCTTTAATGATGGGAATCCAAATAATACTCTCTGCTTTATTAGCATATCTTACTTACATTCATGGTATTATTTTTTAAAATGATCAATTTTTAGGGAAAAGTTAAAAAACAGTTTTCCAAATAATTAAGACTCTTCCTGTTTACAGATGCACATTTATAATGATTCTCGGAGTTTTAGGAACTGGTGTTTGCATTAGATTTTTCAGACGTTATCAAGTGAACTATGTGTTTATTTTTGGAGTAAGCCCTAGAAATAAGATGAATGAGTACCAATTTTACAAGATGTTCATGCTTTTGCTTAATATTTGGACAACTTGTCTCGTCTTAGAATTGATATTTTATGATACAAATTTTTCTTATTACCTCGTATATAGTCTATTTCTCCTGTTAATCAATCCAATGGATCTTCACTATAGACCATTCAGATATGAGTTGATTTACAGCTTGGCCCATAATTTAATATCGCCTTTTGGATATGTCAGATTTAAAGAATTCTTTTTTGGAGATATTTTAACTAGCATGGTTAAGCCTATAATTGATTTCTATTTTCTGACTTGCTTTATTTTAGATTCTCCTATCTTTGAAGACTAAGCACTTGGGGAATGCATTCTTAATAGTGGGATGATTTTTGCACTTTCTGTAGTGCCATATCATATTAGATTTTGGCAATGTATTAATAGATACTTTGTGACTTAATTATGGTTCCCTCATCTAGTTAATGCTGGAAAATATATGTCTACAATAATTGTATTGCTGATTGCTTATCTTCAAACATTTCACTTTGGCCTCAAAGAATTCTATGTGCCCATTTATATTTTTTCCACAATTTATTCATTTTCATGGGATATATTGATGGATTGGAGTCTCTGCAAAGGTACTTAGCCAGGCACAAGGTTATTAAGAGATAGACTTATGTATCCGAAATATTTCTACTATTTTTCAATTTTTACAAATTTCATTTTGAGATTTGCTTGGATCATGCCTTTGCTTCCAGAAAGCTATTAGCAATTATTTTATAAGGATTAAGGAGGTTTGGTGTTGTGTTTATCCTTAGCAGAAGCCTATAGAAGAATTTAGTGGAGCTTATTTAGAGTTGAAAATGAGAACATAACAAATCCAGAGAAATACAGATTCTTATTAGAAGTGCCTAAAGTTTATTTGTGATTAATCTACAATTTTAATTCTTAATTACATTATTATTCTTAAATGTATAATCAAGGGGTTTTGGGGTTTTGGGGTTTTGGGG